TGGTAAAAATGCTTTCTTTGGAGACAGTGACTTCAATCACTGGACATTCTCAGCCAAAGAAAGAAACAAGTCAAATGATTCTTCCCCAGATTTGCCTTCTGAGATAAGGAGGAACCAGCTGAAGTCCTGGGAGAGCTCCACTGAACTCGTGGAAGTTATAACCTCTGACAGCCATTTTCTGTGTAGCTTAGCTTCTTACAAAAATGAGATTTGTATTATCATACTCTCATCCATAACATCGTTATCTTTCCCTGGAGATGCTTTATACCCATGGGACTAAAAATGCGGAAGTCTGATTCATAATTAAGTTCCAATAAAACTGAAGGCTGTGCAGAAGAGAAAATCAGTGCTGGGTGAGGGGAGGAGAGGGACAGTGTGAGTGCCACACTCTGCTCAGCAGGGCCAGCCCACAGGCAGGGACACTTGAGAGCACATGGAGAGAAATGTGAGCATCTGTGGAGGTAAAGAACACACACCCATAGAGAGCAGCCCTCTCATCATTTCCAGTCCTCACAGAAGAACTTGTCTTCCAGCAGTGGAGTTTTTAGGAAGTTGGAGACCTGCAGAGGTGCAGAATTACACTTTGATTCTTAGCAACACACCAGTTTGGTCAAGCAGTAAAGTGAAAAGCTGCTTTTGAAAATTTGACACAGAATTTATCCTCAGTAATTTAGGTTTTCCTTCAGCAAGAGATATGCATATACCCTGAAATATATACTAGCAGAAAACACTCGTTAAAGTACCTTGCTGAATTATATTCACATACTATAAAAGGGTGCATGTAATATTCTTCACTACAGAACAGTAAATCCCTTGACATACTATAATCTTGATTTAAGCAGAATCAAGAAAAAACTATTACAGAAATAGTTTTTTTAAGATCTGGTTAGAAAACCTGAAGTCCTTTTAAACTCCCATCAAGCTGTATCCTTGGCAGAAGTCGATATCTTGGCTTGACATGCAGTATTGGAAGCCTGATTCCCAAAATAGCCCATGGCTGCCAACAGGCTGATATCTAACTGGAACAGAATCTTTTCCATTTTATCAGGCATATGATTTTTCAAAGAAGCTCAGCTGGTTGCTGTAACAACATGAAAGGTTTCCTACATGAGGCAGGAATGGGCAAAATTCACTAGTGCTGAAAGAGACCAGGGTTAACAGGGTTACTGAAACTAAATCTTTCTTTTTGATGGAATTATACCCAGCTTGGGAAGTCTGCATCACTGTTATAGTACATTGAGTCTTTTTGAGTTTTGCTGAGTGTCTTCAGCAATGGTGACATCAGGGATTATCACTGTCCTTTATCAGCTCTGGCTGTGCTCAGACTGTAGATCAGGCAGGTTCTATTTGTAGCAGGGCACAAACCAGAGTGGATTTCTTATTTCACTCAATGAGCCATGATTGCTACGAAGCTCCTGCTCTCTCCAGAACTATTGTTGGGCTAGTACTAAGAGAGGGAGGGCAGATCCTGGATAAGAAGCTCAGTTAATTCCTCCAGTTGCAGATCTGTGTTTAGAACCATAATCAAAACATAAACAACAATTTCATTCGATTGTTCAGAAAAAAAAAGAATATGACAGTTAACAGAAACCTCTAATGGACACAGGAGGACAATCCTGTGTATTTTAACAGTCTTGATCTGTATCTCATCACCTTTATTTGGGTCTTCTGTGTTCTGCTGCTATAATTTTGGGGCCATTGTATGGAAGGTGTTTAGTTCCTGTCAGTGCTGTTTGTAACGTGCTGGAGGTGCAGCAAACTGGGAGTGGTCCGGACTGGGTGCCAGTCCCTCACTCCTGCCTGTGCTTTTCAACCAAAGTGGGAGTCACAGGGCTGGGGGCACTTGGGAAAAGGGGTTGGGATTGAGCTGATCAAGTGCTCATAGTTTTGGGATTGTCTGTTTCTTGGGAGCAATAACATCTCAATCCAGAGAACAAAACTAGCCAGGAGCTCAGTGACTCTGAGCAGCTTTAAAAGAGATTTAAATGTAAAGTTCATTCAGTAAATTCTTCTGAGATGAACAACATACATTTCAGTGAGGTGAAGTGAGACTTGCTTCCTGAATTATTCCTTATTTCAGCAGCTTCCTGAAAAATATTTCTTCTAGGAGCCAATCTTCTTGTAGAATCCTTAGGGAGGGAATCTGTGAGCATCACCGTGAGCACAGGCACCAAGTACAGCCCCAGGCACCTGCTCGCAGCCCTGGAATCACGTCCCAGGGATTTAGGGGGAAAATCCAGATGAATGGGCTGTTAGTGAGACTATCAGCTATCAGAGAGATAAACTCTCTATAAACACACAAATAGCCCAAATTATAATCAACAGGCTTCTGGGGGTTTTGTTTGTTTTTTTTTCTTTTAAAAATGTAAAAATGTGAAGAGTTTACTTTGTTAAATCAATGCTTCTGGATGTATAGAATAACTTTATAGAGGAAACCAGAAAACTATTAAGTTATTACATGTTTCAGTATATCTACGTCATTTTGTATATTGAAGATTCCTAACTGATAGGAAGAAGTAAAGAAATAATTTTAGGTTAAATTCAAGAAGATCTCTTAACATAGAAAGATGTTTTTTGAATATGCAGCAGTAACCTTTTCAACTTTGGTGTTTTGGGTTTTTTTCTGGTGTTATTTAATAGTGAAGTTTTCAAAGAAAATGTTGTGCAGCTTCAATACTACTTTTACCTGTTCTGCATGTTATAAGAAGAAATTTTCATGGAAAAGCTCTGGCACTTAAGGCTTGATCCATAGATGAGATTATTAGTTCAAAGAGTATCTGTTTCAAGTAAAGTCACTCACAAAATAAAGAAATATGTTTCATATTCTTCTTTTCACCTGAATAACAAAGTGTTACTGCTTTTACACATGTGTAGGGCTTCCTTTTTTTGTCTATTCAAGCTCCACAATGTGTTTATGTCCCGGTATCTTCACACATGGCTCTATTGAGTTTACATCCACTTTGTTGCATTTATGCAGGTGATTAATGTTTTGTAAAAGCAATATGCTGGATAATTCTTATCCATATCCTAAAATTAGATAAATGAAGATTGGTATTGAAAGATAATATGTTTTAAATACAGCCATTAAATAATGGGGGCAGTGTGGACAGAACCTCCCCCAGCAAACAGGCAGGGGCTTGTGCAGGGGGATCTCAGAGACAAAAAATGTCCATAAAAATGGGCTTAGCATTACTCCAGAATGGGGAGTTATCAGCAGCTGGAGACTCAGGCATTCTAGAAAGTCAAAGAGAATCATTCTAGGAAGCCTCAGCTTATCACCAGCTTCATCCCCCAGCCACATGGTGAGAAAACTGCACTGAGCCTTTCCTCAGCAGTGTCCTTAGAGACTTTCAGTGCTGGGGACTAAAATATTCCAGGATCAACTGTTCTGAAAGTTCACTATTATCCTTGGGAAACTCTTCTAATGTCTAACCTGAACACTGTTGGGGTTTTTTGTTGGTTGGGGGTTTTTGTGGGCTTTTTTTGGTTTTGGGGGGTTTTTTGCTATAATTAACTTTTTTTTTTTTTTCCTTTTCCTGTCCATCTGGCGAGTACTTATTTGTTGTCCCAGTTTTCAATGCTTTAAGCAAGACAATCCCACTTCGTTCATTCTTACACAGAGTTTAAAAAGTCCTTCACCGTAGCTCTGAATTTCCTTAAACTCAGCAGAATCTTTCCTGAAGAATGGCCCCAAAACCAGGGTCCAGAGGTGGCACCACTGCAGAGCAGAGCAGAATATTCCTTCACTTTCACTTAACCCTCTCCTGCTGCACATCCCATTTCTGCAGCTGCATTAGCAGTGCTGGCTCCCTGACTCATGTCCAGCTCTGAGTCCCTGAGGCTCCCAAGTTCAGCATTAATGTTCCCTCATGATTTATTCCCCACCTTGTATTTTTGCAGTGGACTATTTCTGTTTGGACCAGTGTTAACACTTCTTCCTATTGACCTGCATCTCTTCTCAGACATTTATTTATTTATACTTTTATTTATCCCGGGTACTTGCAGGCTCAGCTTACTGGCATTTGCAAATTTAATAAGGACACTCTCTATTCCATTTTCCAAGTCAGCACTGAGAGCACAAACAGGATTTTCTGGGACAGAATTAGGCACAAGTCCTTCAGTTTTCTCTGAATCACTGAATGTTGCAGCCTCAATGTCCTTTCCCTGCACAGGTCCTGCAGTAATTTCATCCAGAGGATATTTCCTCGTGTGGATGTTCCAGGAGACAGCAGCCAAGGCTTTACTGGAGCCCAGACATTTGACTCCCACTGCTTTTTCTGCATTCCCAGGGCCAGTTGTCTTTGAGAGAATTAGATTGTCTTGACAGAGTTTGTTCTCAGTAAATCCATGATGCCTGTGAATCTATGGGTTTCCCATGTGCTTTGATAAAATGTTGGAAAATATGTGAGTACTTTCCCTGGAATTTTAATTAATGAGTACAATTTATAATTCCCTAGCTGCTAATTGCTTTCACTCTTTCTTAGGATAAGAACTGTGTTTCTTTTTCTTTTTCCCCTTGGTACCCTTGTGCTATATTTTTGAGAGAGAACTATTATGAGCTGCAGCACTGCTTCAGTTACTTCATTAAATAACCAAGGATGACAAAATTCTCTAAGCCCATATGAAATCTCTCTAATCCTTATTTTTCCTCTTCTAGTCAAGATCCTACCCCTCCCTCACCGGTACTGATTAAGTTAGGCTCCTGATATTGCAACCAATCTTTTTTAAAAGGGTGATGACAAAAGCTAATAAACACCCCAGTCTTTCCCAGAGCTGCCATTTGTTGATCTTTGTTCCATGTCAAGTACAGAGATTTTCCTTAGACTATTTTTGCAAGCAGCCTGTGGGTCACACTGGCTCCCACTCCAGGAGATTCCATTCTGGAAAATGTTTTTACTGCTATTGTTCAGATTTCTTACAATGCAGTCATACAAAGTGCCTGAAGCAATGAGATTCTGAAAATCTCTTTGGCCAATCCTAGCAAAAATCTTTGTCTTGAGCAGAGGACATAGTCAACAGGTACAATTTATATAATTTCTAAAATTTGGCTTTACTTTAGGCTACATACACTTAATTGTATCGTTTTCAGGTTTCAGACAAACAATTTTTTTAATTTGAGAGAATAAGCAAGCAGAAATTAGGAGATTATCTTCAGAGGGATCATGAATTTAATCACAGGATTGCTCACAAGAGCACAGATGCTCAAGTAAGAGTCACGTGGAGGATGGAAACGTCCTCATCACCAGGCTAATGGCATCTTTAATTGCTTTCCTTACTTACAAACAGAATTGAATCAGTGGAGAAAATTGCAATTTAGCTCTGTTTATACCATGAACAAGTGTAGATCATATTTTGGGGCAAGACAAGCTCCTAGGAGCATATCTCCTATATTGTCTTATACCCTGGGAGACAGATCTTAAATTCTTCGATATACTGCAAAATATAGAATGCAATTATATATATATAAAATATATAATCTATGTCCCTTTTCCACAGGAGCTTCAGCAGGTGTGGAATTCTCACTGGCTTCAAGGCCAGATATATTCCTAACATTTTGGCACTTGATGTCAGGAGCAGACTTTGTATTCCAGTGCTGCAGGAGAGTTGGGAAGAGCAGCAGAAGGGATCTGGAGAGTCCCACCCGAGCAGGCAGCTGTGTGCTGGTTTTTGGGAAGTGCTGAGGACCAGCAGGATCTCACACACTGAGCTGCAAGAGATTTTATTCTCTACAGTCAGGGACATCTTCTGTCCATTCAGATCCCACAGCTTTTCCCAACTCTGCCCCTTCTGCCTGCTCACCCACACAGCAGAGCAGGGTTTCCCTTTTGTCCTGACAGGTTCTTTGGGAGGAAAGGGGGTGGTGGTGTCTCCTTTTCTGGTAAAGGCAGCTGCTCAGGAAGGAGGTATGGAAATGGAAATTCTTTTAAATATGTCAGAGTGTAAGAGCTCAAGACTGATTTCCATATTCTCTATGCTATAGAGTTGTTCTATCTTTATGCCTCTCTCAGAAAAACAGGGAAAACTAAAAATATCAGGCATCTCCAGATGGTTGAAAATAATTCAGAATCACCATTTTGGTGCCGGTTTTCAACTAAGCTTAAGTTTTATTTTAGGTACCAAAGGCTTGGATCCTCCAAGGTTCATCTTCCTAAACCCCATTTGACTTTCATGACAGTTTAATGACAGTTAAGTGCCAAGTTACTCTCATAATTCTGGGCAAGTGAAGTCTCTGATTTACTCTGGCCCTCAGTTTTGAGCAAAAGACCCTTGGCATTTTGCAAGATCCCTCCTGGAGTGGCAAGGTAGGGACAGTAAAATGTGTTTTTTCTTTCCTGTTTGATTGCCCATTACAATTTTTTTCACTTATAGGAGTTCATGTTCTTCAGTTCCACGAGCACCTCCTGCCTCTGGAACTTGGCTGCTCAATGCACCCTGGACTAGCTTAGGTTTCTGCTTCCCTTCTGAGTTGTTTACGAGCTGTTCCCTTGTCTTTGCTGTTGGGCAAATGCTAAAAATAAGAATTTGCTTATCTAATTTGTATGGATCTTTACAGTGTATGTGATTTCACTGTCTCCCTTCCCCTCGAGCACTGGACAGATTTTCCAGGCCTTCTGACTGTGGGCTCTGCATTCATTGCTGTCATAAGTCTCAGGATTTTTCCTTTCAATGCTGACATGTTAAAATAAGACACTCCAATTTTTCCATAGGGAATACTTAGAGTTTACAGTTTCTTCTTGTTCTGACTGAGCTCTGTACCTACTAACTCTGTTCTGATTATATTTCTTTCACGTCCTGGAAATCTAATTAACACCTCGCAAAATTGTTTACAGTAAAAAGGCCCAAAAATGTGCTTACACCTATGAAGTGATTTTCATATTTCTTTGGAGTAGATGGGTAAATTTTTCTTGGTGTCAGCTGAATAACTTGTATGACAGAAGAAGAATCAGGGTAAGCTCCCCTGTGCTGACAGCCCCTATGCTAAAAGCTTTGCTTGAGATGCCATCTCAAAGAAAGATCAGGTTATTGTGCCTTCAAGCCTGTCCTGTCACTGCCCATTCCACCAAAACTGTCCAATATATGCTCCTGTTTGTCAACTGCAGCATTGTAATTTTTTTTTGCTTTTTGGAAAAGCAACTGCAGTACAGAGGTCACCAAATAGGTTTTTTTCTGGTCCAGTTTGGATTTAATCAGAATAGGCACAGATTTCAATTATCTCTCTCATGAATCGGTGGAGGTTTAAAAGGTCACCTCAGGATTGCACTTTGGGATACAGAGATGGTTGTTTGAAGTTATACAGACACAGTTCTATCTGTACCCCTGCAGATACCCCAAATACACAGCCAGTATAATTCAAAATCTGCTGCAAAATCTGATGTTTGCAATACTGAGTGTGTTTCTTAGGAGAGCTTTATCTGTATATCCCTTTTGAACTCTGATAATGAAAAAAGTCACATACCCCTAGAAACTTACAGATGGTAGGGAGCATTAAAATCACCCCCTCTCTTCTTTCTGTATGCATCATTCCTTTTTGGATTTGAACTGAGGAAATGATATTTACAGAGCAGTGAGTTCTGTTTTGACAGTTTGGAATGAGGTCTCCAGCTGTGGAAGTGTTTTACCACCCAGCAAACACAGCACAGCAAGGACAGGGATCAGGTGGCAGTGCTGGCTTGCAAGGGCACAGGGTCAGGGTGGGCTGGAATTCGTGTGAATACAATAAAATCAGCTGTGAGACAAGTCAAAATAAATACATTTTATAAAGGGTTGGACAAGAGAAGTAAACAAAGTGTGCTATGGAAGGTAAACAGGGCTGAGGAGGATCCTGGAAGAGCCCAGCCTCAGTGCAGGGAGCGTGTGAAAGGCAGGGACACTGCAGATATTCTGGGGGTTTTTAGAGCTGTACAGTTAAGTGACTTAACAAGCATGTGTGGAGTTATTTACTCCCATGATTATGTCCTCTCATGGGTGGGATTTTGCCTGTGGAGGAGCAGACCTGGCACTGAGTTTGAATAAGGAGCTTTTGCCCAGCAAGTGCATCAGAGATGTCATGAACACCAACACCTGCACTTGTCTGGAGCCTACCTGGGCCAAAAGCATTTTAACAGTGATGCCTTGGGTTTTAGCTTTTATATTTTTCAGAATCTCTGCTGCTGAATGTAACTCTGAAACTTCACATTAGGTGTTAGTAAGGTCTCTCCACAGGGTAATTAGACAAAACAATCCCTTCCCAGTTGGAGAATCAAGGACACCCAGTACTCAAAAATCATAAACAACAGTGAGGGAAAGGGGGCAAGGCAGGGGACTGAGACTTCATAGCCTGGGGCTGTGCTTGGAGAATTGACCCCAAGATGTAGATGAACCAAAACTTACAAAAGTGTAAAAACTCGTGGCCAGCTTGGATTTGATTTGGGTGTAGCCCCATCCAGGCTCTGGCACTGCCCAAGGTGAATCCTTTCAATAAATTCCTGTTTTATCCCTTTTGCTCTGTCTAGTCTCTGTTCTAGGTCAGCCTTTCCAGGCAAGAAGAGCACAGGACAAACTCAGTTTAGCACTGAGTTTAGTAACCAGCTGGCAAATCTGTTGTTCTGAGAGCAGCTCTTTAGGCAGATTCTGCCCCAGCCACACCAGTATGGACACACATTCATTTCCAGGACTCTGAACCTGTCCAGTGAGTTCATTGGCCCTGAAAACAGAGTTTGGTCCTTCCCATGCAATCTTAGTTTTATTCTAGGATAGGTCAGATTCCCTGAGGGAATAATGAAACATCTCAGACCTCTGGCACATCTCCTCTCTGACAATGATACTGCGGTAAAATAGGTCAGAGTAGTTTAGGGCTGATTTTGAATCTCTGAGATAGAACACACTGGAGTTTTTCTAATGCAGGAGAAGAAATCCTAGGGACTGAGAGATCACTTACTACTGGGAAGATGCAGAGAGAGAAAACAAAGCTCTAAAACAAGAAATTCAGGAGATTCTAAGGCTGCTAAACCAGGCAAGATTAAATAAATTAATGACTTCAAAGTAATTCAGTACAGTGTTGACTACCCTTTACAAATGCTTGAAAGAAGGTACAATTCTGATAAAACAGTAAAGTACAGCATATAGTGTGTGTGCCAGGGGGGTATACAACACATAACTTACATGTATCTTCTGGACACAGCAGTGTACTAAAATACAAGAATAGCCAAAGAAAAGTTTAAAAAGTTAAACCTAAGGACCAGGTCCTGGCAATAACATCTGCAAGCACATATAGCTTGTAGTTTTTAAAAGGTAGATACATTACTATTCTAAAAAACACGAGTTTTTCTCTTTAAATAGAGAATTAAATCCAGATTCCAAGAAAACCAATATCAACTTTTGAAGCCATCTGAAATTATCCATAGTTTGCAAGATAATTTCTGAAGGTATGTCTAAAGGAAGAGTCAGCCTATTCTCATGGCAGACCCAGATCTTTTTAAAAATCTATTTAATGAAAAAGTACAAGAAAAATAACCAGTAGCTGGAATTAGGTCAAGGCCTACAACAGAATATTTAATTTGGCTCAATGAAGGGGCTTGGATTTATCATTTGTTGTTAATCTAGGCACTCTGCTTGTCCTCATTTATCTTTCCTTCAAAGCTACTGAGAAGAGCTACAGAAATGCATTCAGCACATTGTGGACACAGTCTATGCTCACATCGAGTAATGAAGAAATAATGGAATTAATGGCTGTTATGTAATGGCACTTGGCAAATTAACGTGGACTGCTACACAGTAAATAAATAAAACCATGTGCTATTTCTGGAATAGTGCTTAGAAATAGCTTGACCAGAGACCTGGAGCATCCAGACTGATAGGTATTTACACAGAAAACCTTGGCATCAGTGGCTGTGGTGGTGAGGAGGACTCTGGAGGTGAGAAAGGAGCCTGTGTGTGCCCAGCTGTCCCTGGCACACCCTGCAGCTCCTGAGCCCCTGCTGCCAGGGCCATTCCAATAATCCCAGCAGCTCCTGGTGTTGCCTGGAATTGGGTGTTCCTCCAGTCCAGGGGTTTTCCAGATGCCTTGATGTCCCATCTGGGTCGCCAGAACTGTTGCCTGGAAAGTCTGACCTGGAACAGAGACTAGACAGAGCAAAAGGGATAAAATAGGAATTTATTGAAAGGATTCACCTTGGGCAGTGCCAGAGCCTGGGCTACACCCAAATCACATCCAAGCTGGATCCTGGTCACGAGTTTTTACATTTTGACAAGTTTTGGTTCATCTACGTCTTGGGTTCAATTCTCCAAGCACAGCCCCAGGCTATGAAGTCCCAGGCCTCTGGCTTTCCCTCTTTCCCTTGCTGTTGTTTTTGCTTTTTGGGTACCAGTTGTCCTTGATTCTCCAGCTGGGAAGGAATTTTTTTTGTCTAATTACCCTGTGGAGAGACCTTACTAACACCTAATGTGACGTTTAGAGTTACACACTGAGCAGCAGAGATTCTGAAAAATATAAAAGCTAAAACCCAAGGCATCACTGGGATGCAGTGACGGGTCTGAAATGAGGCCCCCAGAGCACAGGGACACAACAGAAATTCCCTTTCCAGGGAGTTCCCAGGCAGGGCCATGGTGCTCCTGTGTGTGGAACCTGGGCATGTCCTTTGCAAATTCATAACCTGGGCAAGTCCTTTGCAGTTCATAAACTGGGATTTGTTCCTGCCTGCTCCTTTCCTCCACACGAGGGAATTTCACCCCAGCTGCAGTCCATGAGACACAGCCTGTGGGCTTGGAGTGTCCCTGAGCTCACAGACACCCACAGAGGCACCAGAGCCCAAACTGGGCTGAACTGGGCTGAGCTGGGCTGGACTGGGCTGAGCTGGGCTGGACTGGGCTGAGCTGGGCTGGGCTCCCTGCCAGGAGCTGTGTGGGATAATGTAACACTGGTATTTGCACTACTTAATAATTAGTTTCTCTGAAGTTTATTTTGTCTTCACCCAGAGCCAGGACTAAAAAACACAAAGGAGATGAATATTTTCGTGTTTGGGCTTGGTTGTTTATTAGATCTTACCTAAAGTACAGAGAGTTCTGCAACACCTCTAGCTACCAGCTAAAAGTGAACAAAATGCAGGTGAATTTAGTTAGCTACAAGGTCTCTTAAAGCTAAACAGTCTAAGAGAGAATTAACACCTATATTATTTATACTTTTGACCCAATAACCAAACTCTTGTGACCTGCAGTGCAGCACTAACTATCCAACCAGAAATTACTGCCTGAAATCAAGAAGAAGGAAGATGAACACTGAAAGAGACACCACCCAAAATCCTCCAGCTTGTCCCATACCTATTACTATATTATAAAACCCCCAAATTTAAAACCCTTCACCATGTGAAAGCACACATTCCTATTTAATTACACACCCGTGATTTTAATTCCATCACTCAAATTTCAGAAGCCTTCTCCAAGGCCCCAGGTCAAACACAGTGTTCTCATGGGGGTCAGTGCTAGAAAGCACAGAAAGCACCAAAATCTCAGGTTTCTGGGATCCAACAGGATAACAGGACAGCTGCCAGGACAGGAGCCCAGAGCCAGCAGCTCAGAGCTGAGCCCAGCCCTCCTGGCACAGCCCTTGGAGATTCTCCACAGCCTGGTGACAGCACCCAGCCCTTGCTCGTTGTCATCCCCATCTTCATCCTAAAAGCTAAACCAAAATTATTCCTTTTGGTTTTGCAAATGGGTCAACAAACCAATATCTCTCTACCATAATGACTAAAAGATGCAGGTAGCCCTTTGCCTTGGTTTGAGAAATTTTATAGCAGATTAAATTCCTTTTGCTATTACTATACACATGCATCACAACCTGAATAGACTAAAATATTTTGAGGGGATTTTTTTTCTAAATTAAGGCTCTTACAACATTTCCAATATACTATTTTAAAATGTTTCACCTCCCATTTACACTGATTTTTAAATTCCTTCTTCCTTTCCCAGTTGTATAACAAATGCCAAATAATAAATTTAAACTGCTATTTATAAAATGCAATGGATGAGCTGGAGCTTTAGCTGATGATGAACTGAAATTTAGTCAGTTTTGAACCTTAACATTTAGCCAGTAATTGTTTCTTTGCTGTTAATCCTATTGTGAACAGAAAATCATCTGCATTGGTAAGAAAAGCAACTGGGGAAATCTGATTTTACACTGGGGATCCACTGACTTGTGATGTCTGATTATTTGACTGCTTGCATTTTTATGTTGATAACTCCTTCCATTTGGGACTCTTGGACTGAAGCTGTTTGCCAGAATTTGCTGGAATATATAAAGCCACAGAAGTGAATATTGAGTGCATCCCAGCCAGGGGTCCATGGCTGAGGGGCTGGCTCCAGGTGGATGCAGGTGGAGGGATGGGGATGGTGCCACTGCCCAGCCTCACCTGGCCTGGCTGTGCTGAGGGCTCCAGGTGCCCAGGCAGGAGGTGCCTGTGGGACCTGGACACCCAAACGTCCAAATCCTGCCTGGCTGGGGGGCTCCTGCCCTGGCCCTGGAGTCCCTCCCAGGGAGCTGCTGGCAGGCACTGATGGTCCCTTGTCCCTGGGATGTTCCTTTCTCCCTGGGATATTTCCTTGTCCATGTGATGTTCTGTTGTCCCTGTGATGTGCCCTTGTCCCTGGGATGTTTCCCTGTGATGTGCCCTTGTCCCTGGGATGTTTCCCTGGGATGTTTACTCATCCTACTGTGCTGCTTCCTTGTCCCTGGGATGTTTCCTTGTCCATGTGAAGTTTCCTTATCCCTGTGATGTTTCCCTGGGATGTTTCCTTGTTCCTGGGATGTTTTCCTGTCCATGTGATGTGCCCTTGTCCCTGGGATGTTTCCTTGTCCCTGGGATGTTTCCCTGGGATGTTCCCTTGTCCCTGGGATGTTGCCTTGTCCATGGAAGGGTTTCAGCAGGAGGAGGGTGGAAGCAAAAGGGAAGGGCTGAAGCACCCTTGGCACACAGCCTGCCTCTGCTTTTCCACAGTTCTGGAGCCCGTTCTGGGGCTGACAGGGAGCCCTGGCCAGCTGGAAGGGAACCTTGCAGTTGCCTTTTCAGTGCCTTCCCAATTCAGCTTTCTCTTTGTATGAATGTGTGGCCAAAGGCCAGGAGGAAGGAAAGGGTCAAGGGCAGTTTTCCTACTCAGGGTTTGCTCACAGTATCATCTGTAAGACTGATCTCTGTTACACAAAAAGGGTTTCCTCAGGCCCATTGCCCAGTTTTAGAGACACATCTCACTCGGTAGCTTTAAACACAGATGCAGAATTTTCTTTAATCTTTGAGACTGAGGATTTTTTCCTAAATTTGAATGCAAAAGTAAATCCAGCTCTTGGTTACTGCAGCAGTGGGGCTATGACTTGAATGTAAACATTTGAGAGCACAAAATGTAGAAATGTTGGGGTTTTTTGCATTTAAATTTCCATTTTTCATTTCAATATCATGCAAATTATATGCAAATATACCAATATCAAGTCTATCAGTACGTAAATATGTCAATGATCTATCTTGAGGACTGCTTGCACAGGCAGTTCCTGTGGCCACAGGAAGACTTTGCTTCAATAGCCAAAGTAATTCTGCCCCTCTGGTGCCTTGCACACAATGTTTATATAATTGCTGTTTCTCTGAGGCATTTTTGCAGTATTCCCACAGCAGAGTCTCCTTCTCACAGCTTCGTCAGGTAAACTCCAAACTAAAAAGCTCTGGCTTGAATAGAGAATCATACCAGTGAGGTGGTGTGGAATCAATGTTTTGTCTGAGGGTGTGTTTCATAGTGATTTTGGGGTTTTTTTCCCCAAAAGATTACTTTGATGTGTTGAGGATATGCTGGTTTTGAGAATGTGTGGTGAGGGGTCATTCTTTATTCCTGTGCTATTTCTATTCATACTGTACCTGTTGGGATCCAGCTATAATTATAATATAAACACACTGCCAGCCTCAAAGTACAAGGTATTTTAGTGACTTTGCTGTTTAACATTACTGGATTCTCATTTATTTCTATTTTTGTACATTCTTACTTTTTTTTCTTCTGCTTTGCTTACTAAATATGGGCTTTTTACTAACCTTTTTATCCAAGAATTCCTGATTCCATGTGTGATATTTACTCTGTGCAGGCAGAACCACTGACTCACCACACTCAGTCCAGGGAGCTGTTTCATCTTTTGCACCTGTGCATTGTCACCACATCACATGGACAGAAGTGAAGGGCTGTGACCATCTGAAACACCTGAGCATTTGTTTTTAACATCATTTTAAGATGATCTGGAGCACTGCACATTTGGCACATCAGCTGTGCTGAAGCAGTGGATGGAGTGATGTGGATGCAGCTAAGAACAGGAACTGTTTAAATTGGCAGCTTTTGCAAGAAAACAGAGTGAGGAACCCAAGCAGAGTGTGTGAGCCCTCTCTGGATGCTTGAAACACTTTGCCTAGTAAGGCAAGAGGGTGCTGGGGAGCAGCCAAAGGTGGGGTGCCTGGCTGCCAGGGAGACTGCAGGAAAAAGGCAAAATTCCAGTCTGTGTGGAAAAGATCCTTTCCCAAAGCTGACTGACAAATGCTCTTGTTGCTAATCTCATTCAGTGCTTGTCTGTGTATGCTTGCTCTGCTCAAGAAATGGGAGATGTTTGGAAATCTTTCCTTTCAGTGACAATGTGATTTTATTGAAGTCTGAAATGGCTGTGGAGCTACAGCTTTAAGATGCTCATAATGCAATTTTTTCATTGAAATAAATAGTGAATGCTCTTTGTCTTCAAATTACATGTGTGTAAAATGTTCTCCTTTCCAGGCACTGGATGTACAGGCAGAATGGCAATAAATGTGCCTTGTACTGGAAAGACAATACTAGAGCAAGAAGTGATGCAGATAACCAAAAAAGATCTTCAAGAGAAACTAATATTCTCACTCTCACTGGGAGACATTGATGTAACTTGGTTGTCTAACTATTCACTTCCTGTAGTTGATGGATTTTAAGTGAGCTTTAAAAGGCTGAAACTTGATATGAATCTGTATTACTTGGGAGAGAAATGCCACAGGAAGAGCTGAGTGTGCACTTGGAAAAGCTGCAGTGGGAGTGTGTGCTTATTAGACACCAGAAAATCCTCAGGGAGACAGATCTGGACAGGGATGGATGATCTGGTGCTGAAAAAGGTGAGTTCTGATTGCAAGGTCT